CACACACACACACACACACACACACACACACACACACACACACACACACACACACACACACACACACACACACGCAGACAAAATGCTTACCTGCATGCTCCCGTCATGCCATTCTTCTTCAGAGTCCTGGAGTGAGGAGTAAAAGGGAGGGGTGAATATTGTGGGGGGGTGGGGGGATGCATTGGTATGGTTCTGCTGGTCCCCCCCCCACCCCACCAATACTACACTCCACAACCTCCACGACTAAGCGAGATTATCGGACGCTGTCCCTCTGCCGCTAATCCCGGCCTGCAGCAGAGGTACTCTGCAGGTAGCGCCATTCTGACGTCACACCGCCAATCCAACCGGCAAGCTGTCCAACTGCAAACATGGCCGCTGCAAATCCCCTCACACACACACACACACACACACACACACACACACACACACACACACACACACACACACACACACACACACACACACACACACACACAAATTAGGGAACATCGAAAGATTCAGTCAATCCTGTCCCAGGACGATCATTTAATTTCTCCCATTGGAAAATAATAGGAATAGAATTAGTCTGCTCCTGGGTCAAACTGCAGTTATCATAAAAAATGTACAGGTAATGTTTCAAGTCGAAACTAGTAAAATTGATCTTCCATGTGAAAGTGGCACAAGTGCAAAAAGAAGTTCATCGCTTTGCAAATAAACATTAGCCGTCAAACACGTGTAAAAAAAAATCTAATTCATAAACTGTTTTCAATCGTTGTATTCTGATTAAGTGATTTAGTTAATCAGTTTCAATTAAGTGTGCAAACATTTTCCAAAAAATAACCACTTAACCTTATTTATTGTCTTATTGTTATGATTGTCTTACAAGTGCAGGAAGTTAATTTTGTGTGCTGTGTGTTTGGTTTTGTATGTGTATCGTGTATTTTGTGTGTGTTGCAGGTGTTTGTTTCTGTATGCGTGTATTAGTCTGTTACACGCGTGTGTTCGTAAGCGGCATGTACGTGTGTGATACTGCGTGAGTGTGTATTTCACTGTGAATGTTTTGTGTGCCTGTTTTTAGTTTGAGAACAAAAACCTTGATTGATTTTCCCAAACAAACAAAACTTTGGCTTTTGAAAAACTCAATCGGAGGAAAACAAAAAACACTCATACACACAAACACACACACACTTAATATGTGTCCAGATCAGCAAAATGTCCTCCTCTTAGACAGCATGCAACCTATTGAGATTAATGCTCTCTGCTGGTATTTGAGTCCCTATTTAAAGCCAACATCGATCCGTGCGTCCCTGAAACTTCGTGAAAGTACCTCACCAGCATTTAGCCAGCACGCACGCACACACACACACACACACACACACACACACACACACACACACACACACACACACACACACATTGAAGAGTGGAGAATAAGTGCTGTGGTTTGCAGATATGGTAGCATTCTTATTAAGGTTTGCGAAGGCCCTCTAAAAATTGCTTCGTTAGCCAAGAATAGTCAATGGACATTTTGAGGGCTTTTGCAGACTTAAAAACCCACCAAAGTTTACTGAAGTCTGCATCCTCGGAAAAAAATGACGTTTCATAAGTGGAATGGTTGGAAGCCCCGGATTCTTTTTTTTCCCCTCAAAGCCAAAAAAGTCCGAGAAAGTCATAGCCCTTTATATACAGAAAGATTGCCATTTTGGTTTCAAGTGGCCATTTCGAATCTGTATTTTGCACTCTAGATTTTTCAAGAATTCAGCCCGACAAAGCCCCTTTCACTGAGCTACATGAAATTTGGTAAGCATGTCTATCATGTGGAAACCCGCAAAAAAGTCTGAGAGAGCTACAACCCAAAAGATACAGAAATGTTGCACTTTGGTTTGAAGGAGATGTTTGGGGTCATTTTGGTTGAAATGTGGTTTTCACAAGAGAAGGAAATCCAAGGTCCAAAAAGGAAATCCTCCGTTTACATGACAACTTGTGCATTCTTTCTCTCCCCTCGCTTGTCATTTCCTGTTTTTCATCACACCTCTTGTTGTGTTTCTGTGATGCAACAATTTGATCTCATCAGAGGAGAAGAATAATGGCCTGAAGGATGTTTGCTGGAATGACAAGATGGCACAGGTGCACGTAAAGTTACGGTAAAGTATGCGGGAAGTGGGAGGGTAAGAAACCGATGACACACGTTTTTTTCTCCCCAACATGTCTGTCAATGTAGCGCAAATGTGACTTTGAGTTTCCTCTCAGTGACATGTAAAGTGTTTTTTTTTTTTTTTTACGGGGGTCTTTTCAAAGGGACTAAAGCACAGGTGTTTCTTGCACTCACACATGCTGCTCTCAAAGTGCCCCAAAATCATTTCCTACCAAAGTTGACCTAACCTGACAATTTTTTTTCTTGAAAAGTACGCCTTGAATATGAACATTTAATCATCATCCGCACCTCTGAATCAATCTTTGGTTAGCATATTTTGCTCCACCAATCACATGGGTAGACATAGAGGTCTATTTAGCTCAACCAATCAGAGGACAGAAAAATGCAGATGTCACTGTGAGCCACACGTGTCCAACTTGGGCCCTCGGAGGCCATCATCTTACATGTTTTAGATGCTGGGCTCCTGGATGAACTCAGTACTTTAAAGCAAGCAACTTTGATAAAAACAAAACAAAAACGACAAAAAAAGAAGACTTTACGATCAAGAACTAAGTTAGGCAAAAAAAACAACCTAAAACAAATGTCGTAAATTACTTCTACAGGACGTAGGAGGGAACTACAGATGACAAACATTGCCACGCTATCACTTTGCCATTTTGATAATATCACCTCATTCCTTCGCCATCAACGTCAATATGCTAATAGTGGCTGCTAATTGCTCCGCTCAGGCTGATTAGCTATCGATGTGCAGTGTTAGCAATCTGCCGCCCAAACTGCTTATTTGGCTTCTTCAATGTAAATTTTAAACATTGTCCGTCAAAATACAATTGAAGTGTTGCTGTGCTTTTTGCTTGTGCATAAGTGAAAGTTTTAAAATGTACAATTATAAAGGTAAAGCTCATGTGTATTATTTGTCTTGAAATTATTCATTTGTGTAAATAACATACACAACAAGAAGTAAAAGAATAAGAAGCTAAAGAAAGAAAAACTTGTAAGATTGATGTTTACGTGTATTAGTGACAACATTTCATGTTATGTGTTTTGTTGTATTATTGTTATTTTATGTTCTGTCAAGTGCTTTATTACAGCAACAGCTGTTGTGTCAAATAAAGATGTGTTTTGAATTATCCTTCCCAAGGTGTGGTACTCCCCCTAGTGGTACTTGTAAAAAAATCTGTTGAATTAAATGTTCAAATTGTTTGTAAAGTGACAGCATCTTAAACTTTTATTGAATGCAGTCCATTGCATTTGTTAAATACCGTTCGGCTATTAACTTTTAAGTAAAAGACTGTACATTTGCATTAAATAAATTCAAACACTTTGTTTTAAAACATTCATTGAGGTTCAATGTTTAACAGTTGAAGAGAATCATTAGTGAAGTACCGGTAGTTTTTTTCGCATACAGTTGGGGAAAACATGCGATTGCGTCATCAAAAAGAATCAGGGTTCAATGAGCGGCAGCAGATGGTAGTAATACCAAATATGTCCACAGGGTGGAGCCATGCATTCAACGAACAGAGTTTGAAGGGTGCCAAATGAGGGACGCAAACCTGATTGCTTGCGGTCACAGGGCGCATTCTTGACCACTTGCCAACTGCCGAACAAGTAAGATGAGGTGACAGAGTAGAGGGGTGTAAAATGTAAAAAAAAAAAGTTGGCGTTTACTTGTGGTGCATGTCCTTAAACCGGGGGTCGGCAACACGCGCGGCTCCAGAGCCGCATGCGGCTCTTTAGCGACATCTGGTGGCTCCCTGGAGCTTTATAAAAGATTTTGAAAATGGAAAACGATTTTGATGGTAGGCTAATATAGCTCAAATAGATATAGATACATGTTGCAGCTACAAAAAAGGAAAGCTGTGGTGCTGGTTTTTTAAAACGTTCACTTTTTTATGCTTTTAACAGTTTCAACAAACAGACAAGTCTGCGTCTGACTCGTGCCTTCTCTCTTCTCGTTCAACTCGAGAGCCGTTCAAAGACAGCCTCCGAAAAACGGAAATTCATGATTACTTCACTGACAATAAGAAAAGCGAAAATAATGCACCAAAATAAAAATTCAAGCGAGGAAATCACAAAATAAATTCTATGGGGGCGTTTGTGAACACACAACAAAGGAATGAATAACATAAACATACAGCATGTGTTTCCTTCATCGTAAATTTTATGGAGTGTTTTTATTTTTTTGCAGCTGCAGTTTTTTTTTTTGTCCTATATGTCTCTTACAACATTTTGATTTGGCGACCCCTGCCATAAACCTACAAATATTTTTCAAAACGGGTGATTCTAAAAGGAGTTTGGTATTGTATCCTCACAACCTCAAATTTATTCCTTGATGGGTTTTTTTTTTCCTACAGGGTGGCATTTTAAATTACACTTTAAAATGATCAAATCGACTCCTGGAAGCTCGATTAAATTTTCAAAAACAGCTGTTTCAGGCAGACACAAATAAACAAATACAGTGATACCTCAGTTTACGAACATAATTGGTTCCGAGAAAGTGTGTGTAAGGCGAAAAGTTCTTATTCCGAACATTTATTTCCCATAAGAAACCATTAAAATGAGAATAATCCGTTCCTAGGTCCACATAAAAAATAATTTTCTACTAAATAAGCCTTAAAACTGCACAAAAATATACCTTATTTTATGTATAATGAATGTGCAATTGTATTGTAATTAAAGAAACACTGTACACTGTACTGTATAATAAAGTCATTTTATTTTCCTTTGTGATGGTATTTAATGGGTTAATGGATGACGAACTTCCAGGGTGCCTCTTGATGATATCCGAGTGAAGTTGCCGTGCTTTCTCGGCGATAATACCCTCACTCACACTGTCCCCTGCTAGCTGCTTTTCATTTATCCAAATTAACAGAAGTTTTTCAACCTCTTCTATTGCCTGAGACCGTTGCTTAGACAACACAGAAACACCCTTAGCCACACACGCACCCTTAATAGCTCCCTTGTTCTTCAGGGTGGAAGCAATGGTAGACTTAGCTAACTGATACAGTACTGTGATGCTAAGTCACGCAAACGCACACTTCGTTCGTGTTTTTCGATTATGTCCTTCTTCTGCTCGATCATAATTTTCGTCTTCTTCGGCTTAACACTAACTTGTGGTGGGGTCTTTTTCGGTCCCATAATCGCAAACGTGCACTCTATATGGTCCAAAATGTCGCTCAAACAAATCACGTCCTCACTCGAAGAAAGGGGGTGACGAAATGGGACGCAGTTGAGCGTGCGTCAGCTTCTAGTGGCCGCCACCGTGGCACTGCTCGATCGCGTGGTGTGTTCGTCCGCCGAAAACTAGTTCGTCCACCGAGACTATATGCTCGCGAATTTAATGTTTGTGAGGCGAAAAGTTCGGAAGCGGAAGCATTCGTAAACTGAGGTATCACTGTACTGTACAGTGCCATGTGGACAAATGTTCATTCATTTTCTGGCCCCAAAGTGGGTGCCTTAACGATGTGTTAAGTTAATTTTATCTGTAGTTTTATTGTCTTAAGGTCTTCCCATGGTTCCCCCAGATCAACGCCCCAAAGCTACTTTAGTTGGAGCGGTGGCTTACGAGCTAATTGGATGTGTTCCCAAGTATGGTCATGGTGTATTCATCTACATTTTAACAGAAAAATATCCGCTTCCTGACCTTTTTTGGCTTGTGTTCCCCAGAACGTTTTTTGTCATATTGAACAGGTTGCAATGTACATTTGTCAGAACAAAAGACAACGGGGGAATTCGTTCGGATGCTGCGTTTACGTGTGCGTCTGAAAACTTGTAACCTACAATGTAAATTGGTGATTTTCAACGTTGTGGTCAAATTTGTTGCCAAACATATGTTGGCAACGTTAGCTTATAAGTTTTTTTTCAGAAACTGTTTCCTCATTATTCATTTGGCTGAAGAAATTAAAACTTTCGGAGTTCCTTCAGATGTTCAATGCACAGTCTACTTTACACGCAAGAGTAGTTACCCAGCGATTATCTCCCATATATGGCCATGTTGCATTCAATGACAACACAAAAACAGGTTGTATCGTGTATTTGTCGGAACTCCAGGGGAATTCGTAACAGTGCCGCGTTTACGGGTGCGTGTGGAAACCCTGTAAACTACGCGGGGACAAGGCGCTTTCCAACGTTCCGCTCAAAAATTGTTGCCAAACACCCATAGGTTAACGTCAGCGTCGATAGTTGAGTAATTTGCCAAAAATGTACTCATATTTGTCTCATTTTAAATTCGCCAAAGGCGAATTTAGATTTCGAATCTTTCGTTTCCCGCAGTTTTTGAACGCCCCGCCGGTGCTTCAGCTCGCCATTAATTCTGATTTTGAGGGGAATGTTCATTCAAAAACGATAAACCAAAACAACACGATAATTAAGTCTTATAATGTCGCTCGGAGACGGTGAGTCTGCGAGGGCACACAGTGCTCACTTTGACGAATCTCCAAAATTCCAAGGGAAGTTCCCCAGGAAATCCCCCGCTCGGTTATATTATCGTCGACGGCGTGAAGCCACACCGCCCTAACAACAGTGCCACTTCCTCGGATACATTCGAGAGGAAAACGCGGGTCGGGAACCGTCGCGTGGTGGATTACTAAAACTTAATTCAAACCACGATCGAGCCTCGCGCAAGAATGGACCCAGCCGACGCCGACAAGAAGCGGAGCTACAGCACGCTCAACACGCTGTACCACGAAAGCCGGCAGGAGATGGAGCTCCTGGCCAAGCAGCTGGCGGCCAAGGACAACATTATAGCCGAGCTCAAGCTGAGGCTAGCCGGCCACGAGAGGCTTTGCTTGTCGGTGGGCGACAACCAGTCGGTGGTGGTCGGGCCGTCCAAGTCTCTGCTGGATAGTTTGTGCAAAGAAATCTACAAGCTGAAGCAGAAGAGCAACGAGACGGATTTGAAAGTGGTCAGACAAGAAGAGGTGCATATTTCGAGTTCGTTCATTGAATGAATTTGTAGTTATTGATGATTATTATTAGCATGACTAATACTGGCTGAAGCGGGGTTTCTCAATCTGTGGGTTAGGGTGTCGAAATGGGTTGCGTGGAAGAGATGTGGGGTGTCGGGAATGTCAAAGTACCATTTTTATTGTTCGCTAAGGTGGTGGTATTTTCCTCGATCAACATTAAAAGACTTGAATTCTTCTAGGAAAGAAATGTAACCGTTTTACAGGAAAATCTTTTTTTGAGAATCGAATCAGAAATGAAGTTGTATTTTCAGAGGGGAAAAGATGTCAGAATCAGATAAGAAAAAAGTCGTCTGAAAAACGTTTGTGGGAAGTAGTCACCATACGAGAAAAAGTAGTGAATAAAAAAAAAGCAAACATGTCACATGTTTAATAAATCAATTATTGAGCACTCTAACAAAAGTTAAAAGATAATTCCAGGTGTGTATTTTAATGCAATTACAGTATTCACCTCGGGAAAAATCCTGAATAAGGCATCCTTTCACAATGGTAACAAATCAAAAAAAAATAAATCCTTGAGTGTGGATTCATTGCAGTTTTTCCAATATATTAACAAATGCAAGGAAGATATTAGATGTCACCATACGAGAAAAAGTAGTGAATAAAAAAAAAAAAGGTATTAGATTTTTTTTACAATGCTTAAAAAATGCGCAAAATAACAAAGAGTGGACTGGTCTTTTTTAATCCTAACAGAAATGGGGGCAAAAAAAATTGTAATCGAATTTGAATACAGTTGAATAATTCACACTGTTGAAAATAGACTTTGAATTCACTGCAACCTTGACACTAATTTTCCCACAATGCTAACAAATGCAAAAAAAATTTAAAAAAAGATACCCTGGATTTTTTTTTTCAAATAAATTTTCACAACACTATCAAAAAACAAAAAGGATTTGAATTTCATTTGAATGGTTCACAATGTTAACCAAAGTGAAGCAATCTCCTGTATGTGGATTTTAACACAAATTTTGACAATAGCCCCCAAAATCTTGAATTTGGAACACAATCCATCTTGCCCTTTTTTTTTTTTAAAACACTGGTAACAAACTTGGTTAGTGATTGCAAGTGTTTTTACCAGGAGATCCAGAGACTGAGCGAGCAGCTGTGTCAGAAGGACGAGCAGCTGGAAAGCGTCAAGTGCGGCGCAAAGAGCCCCGGGGAATTGAACGGTGATCCCGAAAAGGAGCTGGAGCTCCGGAGGTTGCGCTCGGCCGAAGCCACCAGGACCGTTCTGTGCACGTCGCTGGCCGAGGAGGCCGAACAGCTACGGGGCCAGCTGGGGGCCACCGTCCAGGTGTGCCGCCAGCTGATGGCCAAGCTGGAGAAAAGCAAAGCGGGCAAGGCGCAGGCGGGCGAGCAAGCCGCGACGCAGGTTGGCGCCCTCCGTCATCTGTCAACAACAATGAGAAGAAACAATTTGTGCGGACACTTTGTGTCAATGTTTTGATATCGGTGAAAGATTGTGTTTTAACGCGAACAAAAATATTTCAATAAGTTGATATAGAGGTTCGATGATTAATCACCAATTAGTCAACGATCAAAGGAATCTGACCATTTTTGATCATCGACAGATCAAGTGGTTATTAAACTCATCGTGAGTTGCACCCCCTCGATTGGTTAACAGTAACGATTGCAGAAAAAGTGGTGAGATTCGCAGAGGAACATACGATAGGATAATGATAATTATCATTCGCGGGGGACTTTGCAAAGTTGTTAAAAATGATGATAATTTTACAAAAAGTGGTAAGACTTGCAGAGAAAATACGATATTATGATAACGATTAGTGGTGTAACTGTAGCGGTAACATGTATGATCTGTTCACAACAACGCAAATATGAAAAGTGGTCAGACTCGCTGAAGAACATGAAGGCAAGAAGTGGGTTTTTGATTACTGCTAATTACCTCGTCGAACGAGTCAATTACTAAACTGAAATGAAAGTTATTTGCAATTCGAAAGCAATTTTTCGACAGTGCTAACAGAAAAAACAGTTTGGATTTGAATGCAAACCTCCTTGCAGTTTGTCCTCAGCGCGAACAAAAAAATCCTCCTCGTTTTTACACATTTCTAACAAATAAAATCTTCAATTCAGATTTTAATGCTAATTCCATCCCTCATTTTCCATATAGCCACCCGAGTCACCTGACAGATCTACGAATTCCCAAATCCGCCAACTTGAGGACGAGAATCGGCAGCTGAAGCAGCGTGTTGCCTACGTAAGAAAAACTGTGAAAAAATGTGTTCAACAACAACAAAACAACTTCATAGTGAAATGCCTTCCAACCGCTGTGTGGTTTCAGGTCCAGGGCCTGAACTCGCAATGGCAGAAGTACGACTCCAGCCGGGAGGACTACATCCGAGGACTGTGCCAGCGGCTCAAGAGTGTGGCAGCGACGCGCCCTGCTCCTTCGCTCGCCTCGGCCGGTGCCGGTGCCGCTTTGCTCCATCAAGAGATTTCCCGACTTAACGGCCTGCTGGAGGACAAACTGAGCGAGTGCGCCAGGCTGCGAGGAGAAGCCCAGGAAGCCAGCAGCAAAGACAGAGAACGCATTCAGACGCTGGAGCAGCAGGTCGGTGCGAGCTTCACCACGGACAATTGTTTAACATTAGAAAGAACCAGTTTTGTAAACAATTAAAAAATATATATATATATTCTTTTGTAGCCCTTTTGTCATCTGCAAAAGCCGTTTCGATCACGGAAAACCTGATGCTGGCTTATCAGCATATTGTTTTTATTTAATTGTTGTTGGTTTTTTTTTGTTTGTTTTTTTTTTTTACATTTTTAACCGATTTGAACTCTTTAAAATACATTTTTGAAACCCTTTTGAAAAATATTTTCAAATGTCAATTTAAAAAAAACAACAACAATTCCAAATGTTTGAAACTGTTTTTTGTAAACTTTTTTTGACGGTGTGAAGTTCAAAGTTTCAAAAATGTGAAAATAAATGTGGGTTTGTTTGTTTGTTTGGTTTAGGTACTCATCTACACGGAAGATTTTAAGTCTGAGCGGGCCGACCGGGAGCGAGCTCAGGGACGCATTCAAGACCTCAAGGAGCAAATTTGTCACTTGAAGCAGCAACTACACAAACAGGTGAACAACCAACAGCTAACAATTGCCAATGCACCCACACTTTTTTTTGCTAGAATGATTTTCTGTCACTGAAACTGTACTCTTACGAATTTTTATCCCCCATGCTTCCTTTTAGTGTCTCTTTTTGGTGACAGAAATAAAGGTTTTAGGCTGTATTTCGGATTAAAAAAAAAACAATCCAACAATTTTGCTAGTAGTCACAGGCTTTTTAAAATATACCAGTATTTTGTATAATTTTTTTTTTAAACAATGTTAAGGTTTATTTTCTACATGTTAAGAGCAAGGGGACATCTTTTTGTTCATGATATTTAAACTTTTCTGGAAACATTTTGTTTTTCATTTTTCAGGAACTATTTTGGAAATAAACAACTCAAATTTTTGGTTCGTTTGGTAGCTGTTACCAGTTTTTGTCTTTTTTTTTCAGTGGCGAATCCTAGACTTGTCGGACGTATTTGTTAAATTTTTAGGGATTTTCTTTTTATGCGTAAAGGGCATGTAATGAATTTATTTTAATTTTTGCAGCTACGGTAACCAGATTTTTTTGGGTGATTATTCCTGAATAGTTTACAGTTCATAACAGAGAGCACAAGTGATACACTTTTTGGAGTCACGCAAGATTTTCAAGAAAAAAAAAATCTTGAGTTTCTTTAATACAATTAAATTGCAAGTTATGAAAAAAAATGGTCACAGGAACCAGACTCGTTACGCATGCACTTTAGATCACAACTCCATGATGCTATTCAGTCATTTATCATTAATGTCCAATCATGAGGGGGGGGGGGGTTTGTCACGTGTTCACAACACGCTAACGGCTACAAAACGTCTTTGGCAGGGATCGACTCGAGAAACCAGGGAGGTCCCCGTGTGTCACGTGCACATCGGTCACCGAGTCTCGTCGTCCTCTTCCTCGCGACGCCACCACCGGGACGTTGGGGATTGTTCGGGGGTCCGGAACAACACGCCACGTCTGTTGGCTCCCTCCGCGGCGGTTCCCTCGCCACCGGCTCCCTCGCCACCGGTGCTACCGCAGGATGCCGCCCTAATGGAGGTCCCATCAGATCTGCAGTGCCCACGCTGCTTGGCCACCTTTAGCGAGGATGACGCCGCCCGCTATCTCAACCACTGCGAGGAGTGCGCCACCTTGTGAGCACGACTGGGACATTTTGCGCACTACATGGAATACCTCAACCTGAACAAAAAAGATTTTTTATTATCGGTGAGAGTCATTTAAGCCTTTGAGCTAAGGTCACGCATTAAAGTCTTAGGCCACCGTGTGGTTTGGAATAGGCAAATTTGTGTATTTTGGGGCGGGAACCTATCGTCGTTATTTGCTTGACTACTTTCTGCTTTTTTGCTGTCAATATAAACAGATAGTTTCGACGCCAATACCGGTGACCAGTACATATTGTTAGCCTAATTGCCTCAGTCGGTTTCGGTCGATGCGGAAAAAGAATACAGCATTTTTAAAATCAAAATATTTCCATCAAACTGAAAAGCTGAAGAGTTTGTTCCGATAAATGGTAAACTTTCAGAAAAAAATACTTTTATGATCACAATAGCGGAAACAATCATTGTAATGGTCGCCAAAGACTTTATTCGCGTACTTTGAATGCAAACTTTATAAGCTTCCTCTTGTTGAATCACAAAATCTCACTTGGTGCTAGAAATCTATTCATAATTTATTATCATACACAAAAGCCATAAGATATAGTTCTACTGTTAGATTATTTTAATATAAAATATAGAAGTGTATTTATTTAATTTGTAATGTATGCAAAGGACCCGATTTTGGAAGATATGGTGCTTTTTCCCCCCCCTCCCTCTGAGCTGATCATCTATTTTTATAATAAAATATTTCATAAATGATCATCTGTCTGAAATTTTCATTGTTAATTGATGGGACATTTAATACGCTTTTGCTTAGCTTCAAATAGTCTTTCAGGGCATTTTCACATTTGTGTGTTGCCTTTGCGATCATATTTTCAGTTACTGAAAAACATTCATAATGACTGCTTTTCTCCCGTTTTCATTGTTGGCTGCAAGATTTCATGGGATACTTTCACACATAGCCCGAATGCAAAATCACCACCGCCCAAAAACACCATTTCACAGGAGTGGCGGCTCATATTGGGTCGCCAACATGGCCTGTTCAGAAAAATATCTCACTGGTAATGGGGCATTGTGATTTCCTCGGAACTTGTCTAAGTGATCATTTGAAAATATTAACGCTTGCAGAGCTCAAGTTAAATCAGCGCTATTGATATGTATCTCTTTTCTATCGTGTTAAAATATTGTTGATCATTTTGGTGAGGAATAACAATCAATATCATTTATTATAGCATAGTTAAAGCATCTGGATAATTTCAAAAGTGTCTTTTGCATTAGCCACAACCCAAGATGTAGCTCGATTTTTAAAAAGGTCGATGACCCCAGAGCGTGTCATGTAGCATTTATATGCGGGTGGTGGGGAAAACCCCTCACCGTCTCCTCCTGACAGGGTCATGTGACACACACACACACACACACACACACACACGCACCAGCTGTCAGATGACTGGTATAGTATTACAAACACACAATGAGCAAACGGCAGGAACAAAGCAGTGTGTAGTATCAGTTTGACACACACATAGTGCATGAATCAGTTGTCACGGGTTCGGTGGAGTCGGAGCAGGAAGTCGGACATCCCCTGCTCAGTGCTCACACACAGGAAGTAGGATGCACACACATGCACAAACCCTAACAGACTCACTGAAACATGGAGACGCATGCCAACACACACGCTCGCTCACAACACAAAGATACACACAGAGACTGTGACAAGACCAAAATTGTTGTAGTCTACCAAAACGAACAAAATGAACATCGAAAAAAACATTCTAACAAAATAAAATACAAGCGACAATGATTTTTAAACGAAAACTAACTGAAATGGCATCTTCCATTTGTACAACTAACTATAATTATGGGGTAAACGTTCTTCGCTTTTGACATTGTCAAGTAAAGTCATCCATCAGCTTCGCAAGTTCTTAAGGGCATTTATTTTGGTATTACTGTATGTCTGTACAGAAAAAGAAAGGTCATACAGTTGTTTGAGAATTGTATGATTATTTTTTTAACAATACTTGGTGCACTCGACAAACACACCATGGATTAAAAAAACTAAAACCAATACTAAAACTAATTTACACCAAACACACACAAAAAGAAGCCTTTTTCATAAAAAAAAAAAACAAAAAAAAACATAACGAGAAAACTTGCTTCAAAACTAATTGATAATAATTTAAAAAAAAGTCAAAATGAAATATAAACTAAGGTCATATCCAAAACGATTATTCCCAGGACCAGACACATTAGCAAATGACACACAAAGCACAACTTGTGTGTGGTGTATAACAGCTCGCTGTGGTTGATGCGAAAAACCCAAAACTGTCTTACAAAAAGCACATACAGAGAATTCTGACTTTAAAGTCACAATTCTGAGATTAAAGTGAGAATCTTGCCAACCTTTTTTTTTCTACATTGGCCCTAATCCTCTTCCGTAATTACGGAAGAATACACCAATGTATATATCATGTATATAAAACACCTGGGAAAAAATGTGAAGATGCTAACTTAGCATTCGCCACCGTCCCACATCGTCGCAACGTGGTGACGATGACTGTCATTATCCGAACTGTGCCATTTGGTTCAAAGAAAAGACCCCAAAAAAGCCCCCACTCCCCCAACACAGTTATACCCTCTCATGTATCCTACGCACATCAATGCCTTCAGCCCACTTACATACAGTACGCGAGCGGAAAAATCAGCTTCTAAGTCGCCCACCTCACTGCTGTGGGAACTTTTGAGTGATGCCACGTTTGCAACCATTTCGAAGGCTGCCAGACATTTTGTGTGACTACCTTTAATCTTGGGAATGGGAATTTCCGCACAACATACACACACAATCACACGCACACACACAAACACACTGGCAAACAAAGACAAGAGCACGCAGAGACATACACACACAGACGCAAACACTTACACAAAACCGAACGCACGAACGTGCACGAACACAAACACACACACCCAACACTAAGGCAGTTAAATTTCGCATGCATGCGAACGGACCGACCGACGTTTCCACAATGCGTGGATGTACAGTACATTTGTGCATCTGGGTATAGACCTGCTTTCATGAGGGTGTATGAAAAGGCAAACAAGTTGTTTATTCGATCGTGTATTTGAATGGACAAATGTGAAAATGAGGCATATTTTACATTTTGCATGTGTACTTATTGAAGTGTCTATTTAAACAGTTTCTGGGAAAGTTTTCCATCCATCCATCATCCGAACCGCCGTTGCCTAAAAATAAATCAAAGAAAATGATGGCCGGGAACTCTTTTTGACATTCCCTTGCTGTGTTATGCTCATTTGCATATTCGCAAACAAGCGCCCGGCCTCCATTTGCATATTTGAAGGTGACACATGAGCGTTCCATTCATTTCTTTGATTCATTGAGGGCAAAATGAACACGAGGAGGCATGAGTCACTTGAGTTTCCAGCTGCATGATGTAATCAAAAGACACCATCATGTGTCATGTCACACTGGCGTCCGTCCCTTTTTTGGCGCTCCGCGTACCTTTCAAAGGAGGCAACAACCACACGGCGACCTTTCACTTCCTCAAGCTCTATCAGTACCAGACATACTCAACTTGACAGTACAGCCCTTAAAGGGTTTAGAGGGGACTTGTCGTCTATGATGGCTTGAATCCGCCTCCACAGGTTCCTGGTTTCTCTGCTGTCAATGAAGCGGTCAGTGTTTCTCCTGCAACACTGTCTCTTGGCCAACGAAAGTACAATTTTCAAACCACTGTTAGGACAAAAAAGGCAAGCCAATCACAGTATCAACTGCAAATGCTGCACTTGACAGTAAAACGCCGCCAAAGCGGTGAGGGCAATTTCAAAATAAACCCCACTAAATAAAATATGGACTGTAATGCCTTGGTACGCTTTTATTTTGAAGTTGTTCCCGGCAGCGCATCGCAAGCGTGACAACTGACGCCGTCTTGACTAGTATTTCCGACTTCAGTTGGGGGGCACTCATCGGTCAACCCTACAAAAAACACAAATAAAATTCCAGTTGCACCTTCTTTGGAAACACAGAGTAAAAAGACACGATGTATTCCGGTTTGCTCCATTTCCTAACTCAGATATCTAAGTTATTCAGGGGAATGATATTTAACCCACAAATGAGTATTTGTGTACACGTAATATCAATATTGTGGCCACAAGAGAAGTTTTCTTCCCACTCCTTGTAGGGGACTATAGATACCAGCAAAAATCTTTCTCATCTCTATGATCTCATTTCCCGCCGTCTGAGCATGAAGGGAATGTACCAGTACTCCATTTCACGACTTTCCCTTTGCACTGTACGACAACCAAAACCTGTGTAAGGTGTGACTCACAGTGAGCAGCTCCATACCACACCACAATGACTGAAAATAGAAATTTTAACTTCTAATTACTATTTAATTTAGCAATATATTTGTCATGTATACTTCTAAAATGATATGAAGCATAGATTAAAAATTGAGAGTGGTCCTCCAACGACTGCAAAGCGAACCTGATAAGTATCGTTAGGGTGGGCTAAGTGCTCACCAAGCATTTAATGCTAGTTACACACAAATGTGTCGACTAAAAGGCTCAAGTCAGAAAACAAAGGCTATTGCCAACCGAAAATCAGAGTAAGGGATGTTGCAGAGCTAAGATAATGGGCTGCTAAGCCTTGTTTTCAGCCAAACACGTACACAACGATTTGAAAACAACATTGCTCCTTTCATAAAATTAGGGCCGTTGCAAAGCTAAGCATATTTATGAAGACTGCTAAAATGCTAACTGACCATTTAGTGTTTCAGGCAACTTCACACACAACTGTGGCTTGGGCTACTCGACACACTCAAATGGTTAGAAACAACTTTGCTCCGTTCATAAAAACTCGGGCTATTGTAAAGCTAAGCTAACAGATAGGCATAGTCTCATGCTAACCGAACTATACAAATTTGCTTCCAAATGCTAAGTTTGTATGGTAATTTCATTCAGTAAATTCAGACTGTTTTAACATTTTGGGCAGCTGCTATGCTCAACCAATTAGCTCATTCGATATTTTAATGCTAACTGTACACAAATACGTTATCTAAAAGCACAGATGTTTTACTTATTGTTTTACATATTGTTATTCACAGTCCAGGTTTTACTCCTGTAAAACTTGGGACTGTGAAGCTAAGCTCACTAGATGCTAACTGTAGTTTTGTGCGAAGAGGCGAGCACCCTCCTCCCAAATATTATGCACATGCCAGGAAATAAGACAAGAAACGACACCCTGCCATACTATAGTGTATTCCATCTTTCAAAAAGAAAGACATGATTTCATATTACTTAACAATATGTTAAAAAAAAGTAGCCGGTTGGGCTTTTGCAGTGTTAATACAATAGACACTCTATAACCGATTTGATAGTGAGCTTTTTTTTTCTCTCACGCGCACGCACATACAAGATGGCTACGCAATGTCAAAAAAAAAAAAAACAGAAAAAAAGCATCTGGTAACATTTTTTTTTTACTCTTTTTTTTTTTTTTAACAGGATCTAAAAAAGGGGAAAAAAACACTGTCAAGTATTCTGAGTGGGAGCGAAGGGAGTGGACGCCATCTGACCAAAGCCCCTTTTGAGACGCCGTGTTTGGGGGAAGAGGTAGAGGGGGTCGACGAGGCGGGGATAGGACAATGGGATAATAAGCCACAATATTGTCAAATACAGCTTTTTAATTAACAATAATAATTTTCTTTCTTCCATTTTTTCATAATCATTTCAGACCATGGCTTGTTCAG